CCCCCCCCAGACCTCCCCGAGGGCAGAGCAATCCTGGGTGAACAGTCTTGCTCAGTCAGGCCTTTCCTTGGCAACTAGTTCCTGTGACTTAGCTGTTTCCTGGGGTTATTACTTTTTATTTACATTTAATATTCTGATATTCATTAGAATGTGGATATTTTTAAAAAAATATATATCTTTATTGATTTCAGAGAGAGGAAAGGAGAGGGAGAGAGAGAGACAGAAACACCAATGACGGGAGAGTCATTGATTGGCTGCAGCCCGCAACCCGGGCATGTGCCCTGACCAGGAATTGAACCCTGATCGCCTGGATCCTAGGTCGATGCTTAACCGCTGAGCCACGCCCGGGCGGGCAGAATGTGGATATTTTCTAAAATTCCTCAAGACCCAGGAAAAATTGGGTTAGAAATAGTGTGTTGTTGTATTTTAATAACATCTGTTTTTTATTTTTCTGAACGCTATGAGGGACAATTCTAAAATTTTTCCTTTTTAAAAATATATACTTATATATTTTTTTTTAATCCTCACCCTAGGATATGTTTATTGATTTTAGAGAGAGGAAGGGTTTTAGAGAGAACCCAGAATTGCCTTTTTTTAAAGTTCTCTAGTTGACTCTCAGGCCCTCACCTAGACAGGAAACAGTGTCGCAAAGACTGACCCCTGCCTGCCCCTCGCCCAGGAGACCGACTCCCGTATGGAAGCGTGAAGCGCGCCTCACCATACTGAGCTTAATAAAGGCCTGGAGGGAGGCTGCCACGGCCTCGAGAAGTGGCGAGGTCCCAGCTGTGGTCTGTGATCTTGATCCTGGCCCATGGCCAGAGCTCTGCCATTGGCTGCCCTGCAGCCTGACTGAATACAGCCGAACTAGTCTGCCTGTCAGCACAGTCCCCTGATAGAACTACCTGATGCCAACTACTGCTCTGATGTCTTTTGTCACCATGCACAGCCCTTGGTCTGTACAGCTGCGTGAAGTTCCTCCATTCCTGTCGCTGCCTCACCATCCCCTCCCCACCACCACCCCAAACACATAGACAGGCCTTACCTCTAAACGACCAGCATGTCCAGTTCCACCTTCCCCACTGAGGCTACCCTCCCGTAATTATAATAAACACGGCCACCACTGAGTGACTGGCACCGTGCTTCAGCACTATGCAGGCATCATCTCACAAAATCTTCCCACCAGTCTGGGGAAAGTACTGTTCAATTCCTCATTTTTGCAGAAGAGGAGACTAAGACTCAGAAAAGAGGAGTGGCTTGTTTACCCAAAACCACACGGCTGGTTGAGCTTAGAGAGGCCTGTTTCCCTGATGGGGTGGGAGGCTAGACTACAGGCTTGGGAACCCAAGTGAGGAAGTGCAAGAAGCAGGCGATTTTTAGAGGGTCCGAGTTTAGGAGATTAGGGGGAGCCAAGGATATCATCAGATCAAGCGCCCTTTTCTCAGATGCAGAAACTAAGGCCCAGAGAGATGGGTTTGCCCAGATCACAGAACTGGGTCTTCTGACACCCTTCTCACTGAGTCACGCTGCCTCCCTTGAAGTGAAGGAGAGAGAGCAGAAGTGAAGACAGGCCATGGTGCTCTTAAGATTCAGAGCCCTGCACGTGTGAGGAGGGGCCTAGCTGAGTGCAGGAGTGGGAAGACAGGGCAAGAAGCAGCGGCCCGGCTCACATCTCGGCTGTGGCGCTTACTAGCTGAGGGACTAGAGTGACTTCACCTCTCTGCGCCTCGCTCTCCTCATCTGTATAATGGGAATTTGAGCATCTACTTTCCGGGGTTGACGAGAGTGAACGAATACCTATATCAAAAAGCTCCAGGAACTGGCACTCGCAACACAGATGAGCCATTTTCCTGGAGAGCAGAAGTGCCTGCCCACAGGGCTTCTCAGTGGGAGAGAGATCACGAGTCGGTTCCAGTGGAGGAAGGAGCACCATTCCTTCCTATCATATGCCCTGTGACTGGAGCCACATCCCCTATGTGGATGGGGGTGCTAGGCAGGTGGAAATGCCCCCAGCACCTGAGTGCACAGGGAGCCGAGGGCCCTGCAAGCACTCGTGACTCGGGAAGTCTTTGCGGTGTCAGTGTCCAGCCTGCCCACGACCACTGCCCACTATCATTGCAGGTTCATTTTGTTGCAGCTATTGATGTTTATGAAGATGGGGAAGCTGGGCTGCTCTTGTGTTACAACTGTAAGTGAACCATGTCTTTGTCTCTTTATTTGCTGAAATCCACTGGGTTTTTTTGCGGGGGGGACAATTTAAAGGGACTTAACCTTAGATTTACCTAATGTGTCTTTCCCATGGTCTTAACTGCACGACAGGAAGTATGTAAAAATTGCAATCCTACCTGGATCTCCCAATACGCCCCAGACCTGTGGCCCTGTCCAGGATGTGGGGGTGACAGGGTGACAGCTTTCATTTAGGGAGCCCTTACTGCATGCCATGTGCTGTGCTCAGTACGCTGCAGTCATCGTCTCTTTAATTCTCAGGTACTATTATCACCTGTAGTTTGGAGAAAAGGCAGCCGAGGCCCGGAGAAGTGAACTGCCTTTCTCAGGGTCAGCAGAGCCAGGACAGTGGTGGAGGTGCTGAGAAACAGTCAAATCCCGGGTGTATTTTAAATATGAGAACCTAGATAATTTGCTAATGAATCAGATGTTGGTTAAGAGAGGAAGAGAAACAGAAGATTCTGCCGTTTGGGGCCTGAGCCACTGGAAGAATGGAGGGTGCCATTTACTGAGAAGAGATGCAAGCTTAGGGGAAAGATCTCGAGTTCAGTCTGGACGTCAGCGCCCCCGGTTATCCTGCTGGAGACCCTGAGCCATCAGCTAGACAGTCAAGTCCAGAGCCCAGGGGAGAGGGCTGGCTAGCTGGAGATACCCACTGGTTGTCATTAGCATGTGACATTTAGAGTCCTGAGACTGAAGAGACTGTAAAGAGAAGTGGGGAGAGAGACAGGAGGAAGCAGCCAAGAAGACTGAGGAGTGGCCAGGAAGAAGAAGACTAGGAGCAGGCAGGGTCTGAAAGGCCCTGCCTAAGGAGGGAGTGACCTGCGGGGCCTGAGAGCGGCCCTGGGGTTCCCAAGGCGGACGTCACTAGGCAACCTTCACAGGAGCAGGTGTCTTCCAGGCAGGAGTGGGAGCCTGTCTGCACGGGACCTCAGAGTCTGAAGAGGAGGAAACAGAGACAAGTCTTGCCAAGAATTTTGCTTCAAGGGGAAAAGAGAAAGGAAGGGGGTGATAGCTAGAAGAGGAAGAGCGGTGAAGAATTTAGAAACAAAACTGTATGGCTAAAACAGGATGGGCTTCCAGAATAAAAGGGCCTGTTTCTACGTGAGCTCACCACGAGAGGGTCAGAACCACCTGGACTTGTGTTTAGAGCTCGGAGCGGGCCACGAACAGGGTCGTTGAGTTAATCTGGCCTTAATCTAATGGTGGCTCAGGTTCCAAGGTGATACAGGCCTATGGCTTCAAGTTTTCCTAATAAAACGTTGGGAAAGGGAGTACGTAGCTCTCACCACTCCTTTCCTGCCGAGTGGGGCTCAGTGTGTGACCTGCCTCAAAGGAGGGCTTCCTGGCTTCGAGGGCTGCCATCAAGGGTCCCTTCTCTGCAGTCAGGTAGACCCATGTTCTCCCTGTGGTACTGCTGAGACTTCGGACAAGCTACTTCACCTCTCCTTGCCTCAATTTTCTCATCTGTGAAATGAACATCATAATAGCATCTGCTTCATAAGGCCACAGAGATTCAACAGGATAGTGGATTTGAAGCTCAGAGCCTGGCATGTGGAAATTCTCCCAAAGTGGCACCTCTGACTATTGTAGTAGTGCTGACCCTGTGAATCTGGCCTCGGGACAGCATTTGTGCCAGCTGTTTGTAGAGAACAAGCAAATAGGATGCTATTTCTGTCGCCTGTTATTTATTTATCTAATTACAGGGATCTAAGTATTGTCTCTAACAAAAATGAGTTGCTGTTGTTTTGTTGCAGACAGTTGCATCTATAAAAAAGTGTGTCCATTTAATGGGGGCTCTTTTTTGGTTCAACCCTCTGCGTCCGATTTCCAGTTCTGTTGGAACCAGGCTCCTTACGCGGTTGGTAAGAAAGCCCTTTACCATAACTCTCTTCTCCTGAATAGATCCGCCTAAGCTGTCCAGTCCTGTGTCAGCAGACTCGCTGGCTTCCTGCTAAATTGTCATAAGTTATGTGAATGTGGGTACTCAGGGTTTTTTCTTCTTTAATTGCTTCTGTTGTTCCCCTTTGGGACTATTGTCTCCACTGTTCCTCCCTGTTCTCAGTGCCTGAGCACATGAGCCTTTGAGAACATTAAGTCTCAGCTTTCAGTGTCCTTTTGTTCTTGGGCCTCGCTTGCCTTTTTTAAAAAGTCTCCAGCCCTAACACACTGACCGACCTGGGGGAGAAGCGCACGCATTCAGCGCCATCCCTGGATTTTTTGAAGCTTGAAAGTCTAGAACCACAGAAACTCGGGGACTCTGCCTGCCACTGGGATAGCAGAATGTGTGTGGTGGTGCCTCATTTATGTGGCTCAAGAGCCACACCTGGGCAGTGCATGGTGAGAGTCAGACCCAAGCCAAGAATGTTCGAGTTAGTACTGTTTTCCTCAAAATAAAAGTATTTGTCAAGAGGTGGGCATTGTAGAGTTCTGAGAGGAGTGCAGAGGTGTCAGTCCAGGACATTGGGGACTGGTCTGGCTAATGACAAATCAGAGGTGGTAAAAGAGAGGGACGGGTTGAGAGGGCTCTCAGGTTCTGAGCCACAACACTGGAGGTCACTTGCGAGATCAGCTGAGAGGTGTAGAAAATCCCCAAAGTGAAACCAGGAAAATGGAGTTCACCAAGGAGAGCACAGAGAGAGCAACCAGGGTGGGGTAGAGAGAGTGTGAAGGGGCCAGTAAGAAGGCAAAAGTGGGATCACTGGGCCACCAGGGCAGTTGTGGCGTTTGGAAGTCAAACCCATTGAACCCGAGGAACCCAGTGAAGGACAGTGAGGGGTAAGATGCGGCCCCTGCCCAGATGCACAGGACAAGAGGAGGAGAGAGGAGTGACTAATGACAGGGAATGAAGAGTCAGACCAGGGAGGGGCATGTCAGCTGTGGTCTGGATGGCGGGGAGGTCTCACAGGACTGGGGCAGTGAGCCTCGGGAAGATCGGGTTCCAGGGCTGCAGGAGGGAAGATGGCAGGGAGATGTGGAGACAGTGCACCCCTGTCAGAAGCAGGAGCTTGGCAACTAAGGGGAGGCTCTCTTAGAATCGGGGCACATGCCCCATGAAGGAAGAAGAGAAGTAGCCAGAGCAGTGGGAGAGGTGGAAGCTTCTAGAGAGCTGAGGATGAATGTGAGACAGTCGTGGCGCTGTGGCTGTGGAGCTGACATGCCCTGTTGCCTTGCAGTCTGTGCGTTCCCATACCTCCTCGCCTTCACCACCGACTCCATGGAGATCCGCCTGGTGGTGAACGGGAACCTGGTCCACACCGCAGTCGTGCCTCAGCTGCAGCTCGTGGCCTCCAGGGTGAGTAGACCCTGGGGTTTAGTTCCGACTGAGGGGCTGTGGGAGCCCCAAGCACCAGGAGGTGGCAGGTGAGCTGGGACACTATCCCATCCAGTGAGGTTGGTGATGGCACCACCGCTCTGTGTCAGGACACCAGAGGGAGGTGAGAGAGCTGAAAACAGACTCACCATGGGGTGCTCCCGTACGGCCCCCCAGGCATCAGAAGGCCCCTCCTTAGTCCCGCTAACAGTTGTTTGGTGCTGCTGGTAGTCGGGGCGCACTCAGCTGCAGAGAAACTCCCATCAGAGACTGGGCGGTGGCCACTGTTGTATGAAGTACACTCCAAGTCTAGAAAAGTAAGAGCTGACAACAGAGATATCTTTCTTTGCCACTTTCCATCCTCAGCTTGAGTTCAAATCCTGTGAACTATGGCTGACTGAATAAGGAGCTGATCGGAGGGGCCAGCGGGGGCAGGGCCCGCAGTTCGGGCAGCTCTGACGTTTCTCTTTCTTCCTAGTCGGATATCTACTTCACAGCGGCCACAGCTGAGAACGCGGTCTGGTCTGGAGACAGCTCCAAGGGGGCCAGTGCCCACAGTTCTCCTCAGACGCCCCCGGGCGGAGATGCTCCAGTGTTCCCTTCTTCCCTGGGGGAAGGTGAAGTCCAGTTTTTACTGTCTTATTAATAGATATTTTTAATCCGTTCACTGTCAGATATCAGCATGTGACTACCGCCTAAGAAAAGTCACTGAAGCCATAAGAAACTTGTATTCTGAATGCATTGGTTGCATTCTTAAGAAACTTGGTGATAACAAAACAAAAACAAAAATCCCGTTCTAAAAAAAAATGTTTCAATGGGGAGAACTGAGCTGAGGGCCAGAGCGATTCCCACTTGCCAAGCAGCTGTTTCTCCTTCAGGGATGTTAACAGAGGAGGGTTTTATCACTAAAAGGATATGGTCATGAAACCTACCCGTTGCTCAGCACACCCAGTGCCTGGCTTCGCCCACGAATCCCAGACACCTTGGCCGTGGTAGCTAGTCGCTCTGACCCAGCTTTCCCCAGCTTCTCACCACGTCAGTCCCCTTCATGGCTCCTTGTTACCATAAAGCCCAGACTCCCCAAGAGGCCTCTGTGCAGCTGGGTGCCCGCAGCTGCTTGCGGTTCTCTGCTCCTTGCTCCTGTGCAGGTAACCAGGTGCACTTTGTCCAATTTACCCATGAAAGCGGTGCCCTCAGAAAACGCAGCTGCCTGGCACCCACACTCTGTTGCTCCTAATGGGAACTCAGGAGGTCAGCATGCAGACAAAGTCTCCCTTCCCGCCAACTGTTAAGGAACCAGAAATTATTCTCTTCTAAAGAATACAAACTTTTCTTAAAGTTCTGATGTTCTTTTCTAAACCTCTTCTCAGGTGAAATTCAGTCAAAAAATCTGTACAAGATTCCACTCAGAAACCTTGTGGGCAGAAGCATCGAGCGACCTCTGAAATCGCCCTTGGTCTCCAAGGTCATCACCCCGCCCACATCCATCGGTGTGGGCATCGCTGCCATTCCCGTCACTCACTCCTTGTCCCTGTCCCGGATGGAGATTAAAGAAATAGCCAGCAGGACCCGCAGGGAACTGCTGGGTAATGGCTCTCGATTGTTCTGTTTTCCGTTTGTAACTATACCAGCTGGTTTTATCTTTGGACAGTCATCATCCTCAAAATAGTGTGTTGAAAAGAAACTTTCCCTTTCGTAAGGGATTTATAAGTAAATTACAGTGCACCTACACCAAGGAGTACTATACAGTTCACCCCAACAACAAGGTCTCGATCCGTATTTATTGGTGTGGAAAGCTGCCCAAACCATGGCTAAGGGGAAAAGGGCAGTTTGTAAATAGCATATCTAGTCTGGTACAATTTTTTTAAAATATAAGTATCTGTATATGTGTGATTTCTTAGAAAAGTGGCCAGAAAGATTTATATCCTACAGTTCTAAGATAACATTTTATGTTTGTATATCCAAAAGTTTACATTTACCGTGTTTGTCCTTAATTGTGTGGTTCAGTTATCACTTCTCGAAGCCCCTACACCATGGGGGTGGGTCTGTGGGGCTGGTACAGACGCAAGACACTGGTGATTCCCCGTCAGTCTGCAGATGGGAGACAGAACCAGAGAAGCATAAAGCACCATGATAACTGGGAAAGGCTAGACTGTTAGAAAGGTTTTTGTTCAGAACAGTGAAAATGAGAAAAAATGGAAGTGATTATGTTAAGCCAGAAAGAACTTGAATTGAGACCCACATGGCATAAAACTGTATGGACAGTGGCCTTAGCACATGGCGGCCCTGCGGTCACATTTCCTGAGCAACAGTGAAGGGGATTCGGGTGGCCAGATGCAGGCTTTGACCCTGGCAAAGTCGGCTGGTTTTGGAAGTTGTGCTTTTAAAACATGTGTATTGCTGTTTGTAACCCACTATTCCTTTGAAATCTTATCTCCAGCTACTGTTTTACAATCCACTGTGACTTTCCAAAATTGAACCAAACTGAGTTGGAGAATTTGTTTCCAGTGGTAGGATTGTAGTAGATTTTCTCTCCTTCATTGACTCTTCTGAGTCTCTCTGAGTTTTTAAATTTTTTAGCAATACATATATTCTTTATGATTAGGGGAGGGGGAAACCTTCCACCAACAAGAAAGCCAATTATTTAAACATATATACTCTATCTTCTTTCTTCCTGACTCTATCCCAATAACGCACCGATTTCCAACCAAGAAGAAAGGGCATTTTCTGTCTCTGGGGCAGCCCTGTGGTGATGACCTCTGACCTCTGGTTCTCCCTGCAATCCAGGCCTCTCTGATGACGGTGGCCCCAGGTCAGAAGCAGCACCGAAGCCTAAATCAAAGGCCCGGAAGCAGTTCGAAGAAAGCCATGGAGGTCCCACGCCAGGGACAGTGAGATCAACTAGTAGCGACAGGTAAAGAAACCAGCAGCCCCAGCAGCCCTTTCTCAGGATAGTGGCCCTTTGAGTCATAGCACTGGCACCAGACCCTACCTGCTGATGGGTGATGCTGTGGGCTGGCCCTGGACCAGCCACAGCAGAGCCTTAGCACCCAGCAGCTCAGGGAGCTTCCCCAGAGAACACAGCCTGCCAGGGCAGGGCCCCAACAGATGGGCCACCTCACTAGCAATCCAACAAATGCTCATTAAAAGACAGTAAGACACGTTTATATTTTCACTCACTATGTTTATTGACAGAGATTTTTTAAAACAAAAATACTCAGAGTGACGGGAAACGTCCCTTCTGCAGTACTTATGGTAGGACTGGAAACAGGTACAGCCTCTCTGGGCAACAGTTTAGTGTCACATGCAATGAATACTTGATGAAACCCACTGGTGTGTCCCCTAAGATCCTGTGTGTCCCTCAAGCAACACCATGCACAATCCATTCATTCATTCAGCACACATTCATGGAGTGCCTGGCACCGAGCTTGGTGTTGGGGACATGGAGATGGCTTACAGGGCTTCACAGGCCTGTGGGGAAGGCCAGTGAGGACATTTTGGAAGTACAGCATCCAGGGTGGCAGGTGATGCAGAGGGATGCGGGTGCCATCTGCCCCACACCTGGGCAGGGCGGTCTCAAACCTCAGGAGCGGCTGAGCCAGGTCTCATACATCAAATCAGCATTAGCCTGGCTGAGAGGGGCAGCATCCACTCATGCTTTAATCCCACACACTTCTGTGGAGCCCTACTATGTGACCAGCACCTGCCTTCATGGGCTTTATATTCTAGTGTGAAGAAACAGACGATAAACCTGTAAACAAATAAGTACATTAAATCACTTCCAATAGTGACAGTGCTGTAAGGAAATTTTTAAAAAGATAAATGGGGGAGCGGTGGATAGAAGGTCTACTTTCAGTAGGGGGAGGGTCATAGAAGGCTTCTTTGAGGAGTGGCATTGAGCTGAGCAAGAGACACACACAGAGGGCTGGGAGGGAGCTGCAGGGCTCAGCAGAGCCAGGACCTATGGCCTGTGGGCCTGTGGGTAGGCGGTTCAGCCTTAACATCAGGCCATGGGAACCATGGGAGGGCTTGAGGCAAAGAGTGACATTATCACAATGGGCACTTGAGAAAAGTAAGTAATGCCCCACAAACACCTCCAATGTGTTACCACTGGCCTTTGAAACTCACACCAATCCATGAGGTAGGGCTATCAGGCTGTGGGCGCCAAGCTCTGCTGGGGTGGGGGGTGACTCCTGCAGGTCCCCACCTCTCCCCCAATGGGCGGGGGGAAGACAGGCTTAAGAGCTTGAATGAGCAGGAAACTGCCTGACACTAGGCTCAGATCCATGGTACTCCCAGTGATCCTTTCCAGTGACTCTTCTCTTCTAGGATCACATCGGGCTCCTTGGAAAGTCCTTCTACTGCCGAAGCCAACCCTGAGGGGCACTGCCACTCGATGGGCTCCGACCAGGACCCAGGGGCAGACAGAGAAGGGAGCCCAGTGTGGGGCAGCAGCCCCTTCCAGCTCACAGCTTCCTCAGACGAAGACGTTATTGACTTGAAGTAAAGAGTCCAAATTGCGTTCGCCACCTTTATTTTCTTATGGAGGTTTATACTCTTGGACCAGTTCTGACATTTCTCCACACAATGTGGCTTTTAGCCTGTCTGTGATCTATTGGACCAAACCTCTGCACCCTCGGCCAGTTTCGGTCAGTCTCTAGTGTCCAGTGCCATCTTTCTCGATCTTCGTTTCTTCCTGTCCAGGAATCATCAGCCCCCTTGTAATACAGGTGGTAGATTTCATTGAGGTTTTAGACTTAAACTTTGAATAAATCAGAAGTGTTCATTCTTACCTATGGCAGCCTCACTTATATTTTATACTTAGATGCTTAGATGTGACAATTATTTTTTTCATTACAGTTTTATGTCACATAATGTGTTTCTTTTATAAAGAAAAGCCATTGCTTTAAAAATTTATTATAAGTAAGTTTTCATTCTGCACCTTTGGCCTGTTACTGTTCCAGGTCACTGTGGTTGGAACCAGCTCCGTTCCTGCCTGTAGACTTCAGAAAAGCTGATTAGGTTTTAGAAGCTCCTATTTCTTCCTCCTCGTGTCCCACAAAAAATAATAAGGGTATAGGAAGGAGCTTGTTAAGTCTTAAGATTATTTTGTTTGGTTTTATTGTTACTCTGAAATCATATAAGAGATCAGTTATCAAAATTCTCATTCTCAAGCTCCTGCCTCTCCTTCGGGTCTGCTTTGCTCTTTCACATGAACCAAATGATTATCCTTTCTCTTATTTATCTGCCTTCCACCGCTCCCTCCTCAAAGTGAGAAGAAAATGTGGGTTTGGCCAAGTGTGAATGAAAATAGCGAAATGTCAGCCTCTAGTCAGGACAGCTCAAAGGGGAAATCTGGTGTCACTGGCATTGTAGAAATGTAACGTGTGAAGGTCACTTACCTCTGCCTTTAGTCTGAGGACTCCATTTTATTATCTCTCTTCTCACCTATGTCACCGATCATAAGACACTTCCCCTGTTAAAGCAGCTCTGAGTTCTGCAGGTCTTCTCTGCAAGTGCAGAGAGCTGTGCGTGACAGGACCTTGATCTGACAGAAGTTTGGATCCTGCCTCCCCGTGGACCTTGCACACTGTGGGGAGAGCTCCCCTCCCTGCCTGTCGCACGTGGATTCAGCGTGATGTTGAATCCAAGCTGAAGGTTGCCTGTTTCCCTTCAGCAGAAGGCAAGAGGCCAGAGTCAGAAAGTCAATTAGTAATAAAGACAATGCTTTTCAGGTAGGCCCGCGTAGGGTGTTTGCCCCAAATGTGTCTTCTCGTGGTCTTTGCAGCATTCAGCACTCCCGTTCTTCCATTGTGCTTTGTTTTGCCCTTTTCACATACAGGAGAAGACACAAAACCCTCTACATCCTGTATCTTGACCTCACCAAAAGTTTGGTGAATTAAGATGTATTACTTTTTGCTTTTCAAATAAGAAAACTGAGGCTCAGAAAGGAGCAATGATTTGAACCTGCGAGTTCTCTGGCCCCAGAGTTGGGCTCTCTCCCTGCCCACCACTCAGGGCCAGGGTAAGTGGATTGTTCAGTTGGATCTGGCTGATGTTTTTCTTGTTAAACTAATTTGTGAGCTTTAAGAGCTTGTATGTGTTTTTTCCTGTCATCTTTTTTTCCTGAAGTTTCTTCTCAGCCTGGAACAGAAAAACCAAGGGTTTTTTAGACCATTCTTCCAAAAGATGAGCAGTATCAGAGTCACCCCTTGATTTTACAAGTCACAGCTCTGAGGAATGAATGTAGAAAGGGCAAGAAGTGGACCCTACTAATCAGACAGATGGTGCTTAGCTTATAAAGTGGGGTGAGAGGCTGCCCTGGCAGCAATATCTGTTTACAGTGGTCAAGAGGTAAACTGCACACTCACGGGGAGGGAGACCACCAGCCAGGGGGCAGGAGTTGGTTTGCAGGAGCCCATGGCTCAGAGGCCTGGCTGGTGTTTGCTGGGCTCACTGGAGCATCCTGTCTACATAAGCCTCTCCGCATACCCCGCTGGCTGAGTTACAAAATAAACTCTAACTGAGCAGTTTACCCATGGAGCTCTAATCATTCATCTGCACTGTGCAAACACTAAGTGCTGACCAGAGAAGGCAGTCATGTGCCTTGGGGGAGAGAGAGAAGTAACAGGTGATCACAAAGCGTGATAAGTGCTGTGATAAGAATTTATAACTGAACCCAAGAGGCCCTGGGCACTGAGGGGCAGTTGCCTGTCCTTAAAGATAGTACAGTCAGATGACTGCACTAGGTCAAACGACTGTCATGGTCACACTGGCTGCATTTGAGTGCTCCGCATGTGCTTGGTGTTTATGGACATTGTCCAAAACTCTCTTGGAAGACAGGATGGTCATCTCCCCTCAGAGGTGAGGAAACATAGGCCCAGAGGAAGATGAGAAGCTATGCCCCTTACTCATAGCCCGGTTCCTTCCAGAATCCCACAGCACTCCCGCAGCTGCCTGCACCCGGAGCCGCTCTCCCCGGTCCTGACCTCATCGTCCTCGCCTCCGGCGGGGACTTGGGTGGACACGTAGAGAGGTTGGCTATGAACATCTGCAGGGGACCCAAAGTTGGGAGGTATTTGGATGAAGATTCAAGTCAGGATTGAAGTGAGTGGAACTTAACAGGGAGCATGGAGTTCACCACTTACGCCATCAGTCACACAGGTGGCATGGGGGACCCTGCCCAACACGGGTCCCCAGCACCTGGAAGTCCTGGTCGTCTTAAGCTCTTAGCCATCAGCAATCTGAGGGCTCCAAGTGATGACCGCACGAAGGTCACGCCTCCGCCTCCCAGCTGCAGCGCCCAGCCAGGCTGGGCGTCGGGGAGGAGAATGACACACGACAGTAATTCGGGTAAGCAGCCCTGCGGCTCTCCGTGGGCGGAGCAGGGCCAGGCTTCGCCAAGCCAGGGCCCAGAGCAGCGGTTAACGAAGAGCAGGACTGCAGACAGGTTCTCGGGGACTGTGGCGACGCCGGGAGCAGGGGCGGGAAGTCCCGGGAGCGGCCTGCGTGCCCCGCCTCCGTCCGGCTCCTGGCCCCATTGGCTGAGGCTGGACGCAGCGGCGCCGCCGGGGCGAGCGCGATCCCGCCCTCCACCCTCATTGGCCGGTTCTGTTTAGGGCGGCCCAGACACAAACTCCGCCCTCCCTCCGCTTGGTGCAGCTCTGTCCTAGGGGCGGTTCCAATGCGCTTCGCCAACCGGATCTTTGCTTCCATTGGTCTGCTTCGATTTGAAGGGCGGATCTCAACGCAGACGCTCACCGTGCCTTGCGTTCCCATTGGCCACCCCCACACCCACGCCCGTTGCCCGGAGCCTCCCAGAGGCGCTCATTGGCCGGCTCTCCCGGGAGAGGCCGGGGCAGCCCGCAGTCGCGCGACCCGTGGCAGTTCAGGCGGCCGCGGACATGACGCCTGAGGACCAGGAGGAGACCCAGACGCTCCTGCTGCCGCCTGATGGCAGGTGAGTGGGCGGGTGACTGGGCCTGGGGCGCGGCCTTACCCCTCTCGTTGCTCCCAGGCCGGCGCCGCTCACCGACCGCCTCATCCCCGCAGCGTTCCCCGCGGCCGCCGCGTCTTCCTCGCCGCCTTCGCCGCTGCCCTGGGCCCGCTCAGTTTCGGCTTCGCGCTCGGCTACAGCTCCCCGGCCATCCCGAGCCTGCGGCGCGCCGCGCCCCCGGCCCCACGCCTGGACGATGACGCCGCCTCCTGGTTCGGGGTGAGACCTCTGCCTGGGACCCTCCACGCCTACCCCCTCGGACCCGTGATGGGACCCTTCCCCTGCCTTGCTTCGGGCGAGCACTGAGACCCTCGGCAGAGGACGTCCCGGTTCCCCTGCCAGGGCTCACTCTCCCGGACCCCCAGCCAGGGACTCAGTCTCCTTCCCTCTGAGGCCGCTGGGGGTGGAGTGGAGGGCGAGGTTGGGACACGACCCCCTGGCGCCCCCTTCTCAGCCGGCTATCGCCCCCAGGCCATCGTGACCCTGGGCGCCGCGGCGGGGGGTGTGCTGGGCGGCTGGCTGGTGGACCGTGCGGGGCGCAAGCTGAGCCTCCTGTTCTGCACCGTGCCCTTCGTGACCGGCTTTGCCATCATCACCGCCGCCCGAGAAGTGTGGATGCTGTTCGGGGGCCGCCTTCTCACCGGCCTAGCCTGCGGCATTGCCTCACTAGTGGCCCCGGTGAGTGGCCCCAAGTCCCGCGCCCAGGGACCGAGGAAAAGGAGCAGACGTTGGGGCGTGGTTCTCCTCGCGGTCCCCTAGGTGGCCCTTTTCTGCTTGTCTCCCTCACCCTCGCGATGAGTCCTGGAAAAAGCAGCTGTTATTAGCCCCCTTTGCAGATGAAGTAAGTTTCAGAAAGGTGAAGTCCTTTGTCCAGGCTCAACTAGTCAGTGGTGAAGCGATTACCCTGGATTGTGCCACTTAACCTGGCCCCCTTTTGCTCTACAAATCAGATGGCACCTGTGGATGGTCAACAGAAGCCTCACAGTATGGCTTGGATGCCCCCTGTCATTCAGACCACTGACTACAGTTTAGCAGGAAAATCCTGCCTGGTCTGTCCTGGGGACAAAGGCTGCTGCCACCTGCCGCTCCCCTTCACTGCTCACACACCAGCCCTCCGGCTGCTTCCCTGCTTCTCTCTGCCAGCTCCTGACCTGGCACTGCCCAAGCTGACTTTGGAGCTGTACACACCTGGGTGACATCCCGGCTCTGCCACTTTCCCAGGGCAGAGCGCCTCTCTGGGCCTCAGTTCCCTCCCCTGTCAATTGAGAATGACAGGTTACCTCATGCAGTGAGTGACGAATCAAGAGACAGCGCACATCAGCACTATCATGACTTGGACCCTCGCAGCCGAAATCGCTGAGTGGCCAGTGAACTGCTGCTGGCCATGGGCTTGGAAGATCCACCGCCCACACCCCAACCTGGTTGAGATTGAAAGCAGTGGCTTGGGGTCCTCCCTGGTCATCCCTTTGCACCTGCCACTCATTTCACCTGCATTTGCTGGACAGCTGGGTTGGATTTTATGTTTTGGGATTTTCACTGGGCAAAAACATACAAGTCATGGACCTAAGGTATGGAGTAACCCAGAAATATGGGTGAGGCCTTTCTGGCTCATGAGCACAGTCACTGGGGGGCCATTGAGGAGAGTTCCTGCTTTAATTCTAAGGGCACCATGCCAGCAGCCCAGGTGTCACCTCGGGCAAAAGGCAGAATCTCATCTCAGACCTACTCCCTGCCCCAGACCTACTGCACCAGAATCTGCATTGTATCAAGGGTAATGACACAACTAAATGAAAGTTTGAAGAGCTCTGTGCCCCCACCCACCTATCACCCTACACACAGCAGCCACATACCCTAACCCCCTTTAAACACCTGCTGCAGGTCACTTGGTGGGGTGTGGGGAAGTATGAGGAAGGCTCTGGCCTGGGTGTTGCATTTGGGGGCCCACCAGGCCTTCAGCGGCATCTTACTTGCTGACAGGTCTATATCTCTGAAATTGCCTACCCAGAAGTGCGGGGGCTGCTCGGCTCCTGTGTGCAGCTGATGGTCGTCATCGGCATCCTCCTAGCCTACCTGGCAGGTGAGAGTTTTCACGTTACCTCTGCTAATCCCTATTCATGGCCATGTGGCCACTTTATAGATATGGAAACTGAAGTTTGGAGATGTCACAGGACCAGCCTGAGGTCATACAGCCAGCACCCAGGGTGCTAGGTTCCCAGACCCCTCCCTGAGACCCTGGGATGTGGGTCTTGTGACCAAGTTCCCGGAAGAGCTGAAGAAAGCGATGTACTCATCTTCCTAGGGCGGAAGCCCTTTCCAAGGGCCTGGGGAGGGCTGACTGCTTAGGTCAGTACCTCACTGTGTAGTGACAAACAGGATTCCAGGGGCAGGTGGGGCACCCCAAAAATCTTCAGCCCAGGTGCTCAGAGGGCCCAAGCATCTCTCCCTCAGAAGCAGTACTGGATGTACCTACAGGAGGCGGGTTCCAGGGACCTCAGGGTCAGAGCTGGGGCCAGCCCCGGAGACAGCTGTGTTTGCCCCAGAACTGGGGTAGAAAGAGGGCAGGCTTCATACTGACAGTCCCAAATTAGGGGAGGACCTCTGCCACTTGCTGGCTATGTGGCTGTGGCCTACTTACACAGCCCCTAGGAGCCTCACTTTCTCTGTCTTTAGGTGGAGGTAACCCCACCTAGTCCAAGGCTGCTGAGGGTTTAAATTGACACATGAAAAGTGCCTGGCAGCAGCCCCCAATGAGATTGTCAAGGGATGGCCAGAGAACCACAGGGAGGGGTGGAAGCTTGCGGGGGGTTTGGGCCTGATGGGTGTGGTGGTGCCTGGCCAGGTGCCCTGTGGGTGTTTGGAATGGTTGATCTGCAGGTTCGTGGTCTTTCTTCTTACCCACTTACCATCCTGACTAATTCAGAGTCCTACCAGCAGCCCTGCTGCCGAGGAGGCCCAGCAGTGTGCCAAAGTCCTGCTTGTACACACACTGACATTTGGGACAGACACTTGGGTATCAGTGCGCCCGCAGAATTATCTCCAGTTCCTGTGACTTGATCCTCTGGTGCTCAGTGAAAAGTGCCCCCACCCTGCCCCCTTCCTCTCTGAGAACCAGCCTTGCCTGCCTCTTGAGGAGGGTCTGCATGAAGACTGTATGAGGACTATGCATAGTTGTCCTCCCCACCCTCGAAATTTTACACAGATGGTGCCGTGCCGTGCCTGTCATCACATAGCTAGCACCTTGTTCTTTGTATAACGGCTACTTCAATATTCACTGAGCCAGTGTAGCGTAATAACATGACCGTCATCGTTTCCACATTTCAGCCAGTATCAGTAACAAACTTGAGAGTAGCCATGCAGGGGTAGGGCGGTCCCCACCCTTTAAGCCAGGTCCCTGGGGTTGGGGAGGGGGCTGGCACTCAGAGAAGGCCCAGGCCGGCTCACCCAGGCTCTGCCGTCTGACCCCCATCCAGGCTGGGTCCTGGAGTGGCGCTGGCTGGCCGTGCTGGGCTGTGTGCCCCCCTCCTTCATGCTGCTGCTCATGTGCTTCATGCCCGAGACCCCGCGCTTCCTGCTGACTCAGCACAAGCGCCAGGAAGCCTTGGCCGCTGTGCAGTTCCTGTGGGGCTCCGAGCAGGGCTGGGAAGAGCCCCCCGTCGGGGCTGAGCACCAGGTGAGGGGCTGGGAGGTGAAGCTGGGGGAAGGGGTCAGTGAAGTTTCACTCCTTTGCAGCCAGAGAGGCCAGCCCAGCCTGTTCCCAAGGATGTGTGAGCACACACACACACACACACACACACACACACACACACACGGTGGGGGCAGCATTGTCCCGTGCCAGCCAGCAAAGGCCTGCTGGAGCCCTGCTGCTTGGCTGGGCCCTGGCCTTGGAGGTCACTGGGAGAGCCTGAACCTTGATCTTACTGAAGAGGAAAGCTAGGCAGGGCAGACTTGAGGACTTGGGTTTTTATGCGGGGGCTTGTATGGCAGGGGATGAGAGGCCGTATGACCATTCCATTGTCAAGCCTTAGTTTCTTCATGTAAAATAGGAGTCATAGCACATTCCTGCTGATGGTGGTGGTGAGGACTCACTGGGGTGGAGGGTGGCACTCGGCCCAGGCCCTAGGCTGGTGGGATTCTGGACCCGTTTGCCCTTTCCTCTTTGTGGCTCTCCCAGCAAATCAGAAAGGGCTATACGGAGGTGAGGACCTCGTCACCTTACAAATGAGGAGGCTATTGTCATACAGATACCTGTCTGTGGACCCAAGGCCCAGATGAGGCCAAGACAAGAAGCTGAGGCTCCCTCCCTCCACCAGGCTTTAGGATGGTGGGCTCAGAGCCTGGTGCCCCTCGGGAGAGGGCAGAGAGAAGCACTAACGCTCAGTTTCTGTTGAGCAGGGCTTCCAGCTCGCCCAGCTGAGGCATCCCGGCATCTACAAACCCTTCGCCATTGGCATCTCACTGATGGTTTTCCAGCAGCTGTCAGGGATCAACGCTGTCATGTTCTATGCAGAGACCATCTTTGAGAAGGCCAAGTTCAAGGTAAAGAGGCCTCTGCCCCAGCTGGCCTCATCCAGATGCCATGCCGGCCTAGTCTCTGGGTCTTTGCCTGAGCCACCTCTGCCTGTCTTCCCAGGACAGCAGCCTGGCCTCTGTCATCGTGGGCATCATCCAGGTGCTGTTCACGGCCATAGCAGCCCTCATCATGGACAGAGCTGGGCGGCGGCTGCTCCTGACCTTGTCAGGTGAGGCTCAGGCTCAGAGCTGTGCAAGTGGGGTGGCCCAGGCCAGGCTCCTCACCTCAGACTGGAGGGTCTTTGCTGAGGCCACCATGTTGTAGGAGGACAGGTGTCCCTGAGATAAGACCAAGATTTAATGCAAGCACTCACTAAGTGCTCGCTACAGACCAGGCCTGATCTCATGGCGTCTCCACATCACACCTTAACCTTTGCAATGAACCTACAAGGAAGGTGCCATAGGGGCCCAAGATTACGATGAGTAACTCTGAAGCTTGTGGTCTTTTGGGGCAAGTGGCTTTACCTCTCTGAACCTCAGTTTCACTCTGAAATGGGGATAAATGTGGGCCATCGTGAGGATCAGGAGGTGGTCCATGGGAGCTCCTCTGCATGCTGAGGCCCACAAGCACTTGGTACTACAGGGAGACAGTTCCACTAGTGCCACTGCCACTCATTACTGCTCCTCAGGCCGAGGCTCTGCCTCTGGGAGCTTCTTAGAGTCTGCTGAGGTCTGAGGTCCAAGCCAGGGCTGGTAGGGCCAGGCTGGAGTGGGTGCCACCCAGTCAGGGCTCCCGGGTACCGCTCACTGTCCCTCTTTCTGAGGTGTCCAGGCCACGTTGCTGTGGCCACACTGGTCTGAGACTCCTGCCCTGGGAGCCATATGCCCGGGCTTTGGGCTACTTCCCCAGTACCCCGCCCAGCGCTGCCCTCCGCCTGCAGGTGTAGTCATGGTGTTCAGCACCAGTGTCTTCGGTGCCTACTTCAAGCTGACCCAGGGAGGGCCCAGCAACTCCTCACACATGGACCTTCTGGTGCCCGTCTCCATGGAGCCTGCCAGTGACAGTGTAGGGCTGGCCTGGTTGGCAGTGGGCAGCATGTGCCTCTTCATTGCTGGTGAGAGGGGCCCTGTGGGGAGGTTGGGTGGGGACTGATGGGGTTGCCCTGTCACTGCTGCATCCCTATGGCTCCCAGCAGGTCCAGGCCTACCTGGCCTCACCTGTCCATATAGGTCCACAAGTCTGCATTTATAGGTCTGACCATGGGCCAAGCACTGAGCTAAGCCCTACTCTGCTCCTCTCACTTAGTCCTGCCAGCGTGCTGAGTAGGTCCCTTTGTTATTCATTCTATAGAGAAAAGACCTGAGTGAAAGAAAGGAAGAGCCTAGCCTAAGACCTCACAGCAGGAAGGCGCAGGGCTGGTGGGCCCAAACTGGAACCCAGGTCCCCTCAGCCCATGCCAGGCAGCCTGCAAGGCTTCAGCACTGGAGTCTGCTGCCAGCCGAGGGACCCAGCCCCTGTGGGTTCTGACGCCTGCCTTGCTCCCACAGGCTTCGCTGTGGGCTGGGGACCCATCCCTTGGCTCCTCATGTCTGAGATCTTCCCTCTGCACGTCAAGGGTGTGGCCACCGGCGTCTGCGTCCTTACCAACTGGCTCATGGCCTTTCTGGTGACAAAAGAATTCAGCAGCCTCATGGTGAGTACAGGCCCTGGTGGCCTCCCCTCCATAGTCAGCAGAAAAGCACTTTTAGATTATTCTCATTGCAAAAGACCCGGGATCAGTGGCCTCGTGTACAGGCTGAGGCCCTGCCCTCCTGGGACAGCAGCCGTCTTGGTCAGGGCAGAGGGGAGACTGACGGGCCAGGGCAGGTGGGGAACCCAGGCTGTAACCACTCAGGGGCCTTCAGGCTGTCTTGGTAGAGGACAGTAGGGTGGGCCTCCCTCATTGGATGTTGGGGACACAGGTTGGGAGGTAGGGCTATGTGGTAAAACTATCTTCTCATGGATAGACTGACAAAGACATGGCGCCTGCCTGCGGGGCTTCCCAGCCAGTGGGGGGCGTGGCGTTGGAGCAGATAGACAAGCATTTGTTCAGGCATTCATTTCCCAGGTGTCCTGGTACATTCTACATTTAGGCTGTTCGTGGTGCCAGAGACAGCAAGGAATGAGAGGACAGGGTCCCCTTTATGACAGGCTGGGATAGCAGTGGACAGTGGTGGGAGAATGAACCACCAGGAAGCTGGGCTGGGGCCGGGGAGATGGGTCCTGAGAGGTGTGGATGTGCAGGGCTGGACTGGAGTCTGTCCAGGACGCGGGCCCATTCAGGCAGCTGCTCCGGGAAAGGAGAGCTGGGAAGGGAGGGCCCTGTGGTTCTGGGCTGGGAGGGGTGGACAGGCTCTGACCAGAGGGAACTGCTCACTCTCCCTCCACGCCTGTGGGCCCTCAGTGTCCTGCGTGCTCACGCTGCCCCATCTCGGCTTGCTGTTGCAACGCTCACCATTCCGTCCGTACAAGGAGAGGCTCCTCCGGGGCAGGGACCTCGGAGGGCAGGACCAAAGCTAAGTGTAGAGGGTGGTCTGTGGGCTCTGGAGTAGACCCTGGGCATGAGAGCCCAGGCATCACTTGATAGCACGTCTCTGACCTGGAGGCAATCACTGCATCACAGTGAGCCTGTTTCCCCAGCAACAACATCCACACCTTGGACAGCGCTCAGCCCTGCTTCTAGATGACCCAGCCGGACCCTCACTGCCCTGAGCCTGGGCGGGGCAGGCAGGGGCCTTGGCTCACGATCATGTGAGGGCTCCTAGCCTTCTGCCAAGTCACTTGTGGCTCTTCCTCTCTCTCTGCAGGAGGTGCTCAGGCCCTACGGTGCTTTCTGGCTCGCCTCTGCCTTCTGCATCATGAGTGTCTTTTTCACTTTGCTCTGTGTCCCTGAAACCAAAGGAAAGACTTTGGAGCAAATCACAGCCCATTTTGAGGGACGATGACAGCTCCTTCCTGGGAGTGGCTGTCCCTCCTAGCTGGGCTGCCTTGGGCTCTGGAGGGGACAGAGCCTGCCTGTGACTTCAGGCTGGGCCTCAGCCAGAGCCCAGAACCCTACCTGCCCCCCAGAGAGCCAGGATCCAGGACCGCAGCCCCTCGCAGCCTTGTCCTCCGGGTTCCTCCTCCTTGCCCAGCTCTCTGCACTTCACAAGCCATGGGCATGAGGTTCCTAGTCCCTGGGTCCAGGTCCCACTGCTGCTCTGAGATGGGAAGAGGGGACATCTTGGAGAGTCTTCGCTGCCCTGTGGCCAGTCCTCCACCTGCGGTCTCTGTCATGACACGAGAGCAACAGTGGAGGAGGGGGACTCCTGGCTCCGCCCTTTCTAGAGGAGGTGCTTTTGGAGGCTGGGTGGTGGTGGCCCATGATCTCACAGAGTTGTATTATAAGGAAGGAACTTTGCCAAATAAAGACTTGACTCAGAGCCCTGGCTGAGTGGCTCAGTTGGTTGGAGTGTCGTTCCAAACACCAAAAGGTGGCAGGTGTGATCCCCAGTCAGGCGAGTGTGGGAGGCAAGCGACCATGTTTCTCTCTCGCATGGACGTTTCTCTCTCCCTTCTCTGTAACAGTCAATAAAAACACATTCTCAGGTGAGGACTTAAGAAAAAGATCTGACTCAGAAAATCGGGTCCCGACCTCTCTGAGCGCATTTTCCTGTCCCATAAACCTGCCTCGCCGGGACATCTGGGGTTTACTCCCCGCTCCGTAGCCGCTATTCGCTCCCCGGCCGGGCAGCCCCGCGTGCGCCCACCCTGCGGTTTCTGTTAAGCTACAGCGAGAGCGGGCAGCGGTCCATGGCAGCCCGGTGGGGAGAGCAGCACCCCCAGGCCAGTGTCTGGAAGGTCCTGCAGCAGCTGCTCTGATTTCAGTAAAATGGGCCAAGTAATACGCAGAACAGCTCTCAGCTTTAGCAAGACCCAGTTCCTGGGCGCCCTGCGGAAGCGAGGTCCCGTCCACGTGCAGGCTCGTCTTCCGGTCCGGCACTGCGCGTCTGCACTGTCGTCAGTGCTGCGTGGCGGCCACCGGCTGGGTGGAGAAGCGTATTGTCATGTTGGGTGGAGTGTTCTACGAAGGCCAATTAGTTCAGGAGCGTCGTTCGGGTCCCCGACATCCCAACTGACGTTCTGTCCACTTGTACCAGTTACTGAGAGAGAGCTGTTGAGATCCCCACCTGCACATGTGGACGTTTCCCCTGCAGCTCTCCTGGGCTTTGCTTCAGGTACCTGTTACCAGGTGTGGCACACTTCGGATTGTCACGTTCTCCTAATTGGTTTGTCCTTCATCGTTATGAAAGGATCTTCTTTCTCCCTGGTCACAGTCTTTGTTCTGAGGTCTACACTGCTATCGGTGTTACCACTCCCAATACCTTTTGGTTGGTGTTTCAACATGCATTTTTTTCACAGCATCCTATACTTTGGGTTTTTTTTACAGAATGCTGTTTGGGTTTCTCTGAGCTTTATTAAGGCATATTTATATATTATAAAATTCAACAATTGTTGGCATAAAATTTGATGACTGAGGTCAAAGGTATACAGCTGTGTACCCACCACCGTAGTCAAGACATTTTTATCACCTCAGAATGTCCCCTTGTGTCTCTTTGCAGTCAGTCTCCTCCCTATAGCTATGGCCCCGGCACCTACAGATGTGTTCCATTCCTATAGTTGTGCTTTTTCTAGACCTTCATAAAAATGGAATCATGTAGTTTGTGGTCCTTTGAGTCTGGCCTCTGACTCAGCAGAGTGTGTTTTAGATTTTCTGTGCTTGTGCAGCCGGAGTTTATTCCTTTCTGTGTTGAGTGGCAGTCCACTGGACATCTGGGCTCGTTCCAGCTCTTGACTGATGAATAAAGTTGTTATAAACATTTGCATACACATTTAGTGTGGAGTGGAACTTCTGGGTCACATGTTAAGTTTACGTTTAACTATTTTAAGAAGTTGTCAAACTGTTTTCCAAAGTGGTTGCACCATTTGGCACTCACAGTGGCGGGGCACAGGAGTCCCTCATCTTCCACATCCTCAACAATTCTTATTTGTTGTTACAAATAAAACTGTTTATATCTTTGCCGGGCCGCATGGCTCAGCAGTTGAGCATTGACCTATGATCCGGGTGATCTCAGTTCATTTCCCAGTCAGGGCACATGCCCAGGTTGTGGGCTCCATCCCCAGCAGGGGGACGGGCAGCCAGTCAATTACTCCCATCGTTGATGTTTCTATCTCTCCCTCTCTTTCTGAAATCAATAAAAACGTATTTGGGGGGAAAACTTTACATTTAACTTTTCAAAAGTTGTCTTCTGTCTGATTTCCTCTGGATTCACTTGATCAGGCTGCTTAATTGGTCCTCTTTTATGCTGCGGGTTTATCTCAAATCTATGGGGAGCTCCAGTGGTCCCCATTCAGGAAGGAAGAGCTAGGGGTTTAACTGCAGCTTCTGCAGCCCCCTCCCCACCCGTTCTCGGTTCTGGTGGATTTGTTCCCTTTTATACATCTTCACTGTCATTTCAGTGGGATTTAGAGGAAGAGGAGGTGAATGTGTAAGTTCAGGCCACCAGCTTGAAACGTAAGCCTTCTTCATTTTTTTAGCGATGATGGGTTTGTTTGCCATTGGAGTCATGGTATGTGGCAAACAGTCGGTGCTCAAATAGTTGTTGAATTTAAGACTATATTGGAACTTAAGTTAACCTCACATTGTTCCACATTCAGATTGTTTCCAGTTTTCTGCCTATTGATAATTCTATTATATAGATACAGATTTAGAGAGATGAGAGACAATAAAGGGAGATAAAAGGAGAGAAAAAGATATGATAGGGAAGACATACGCATGCGCAGAAACAACTCCCAGGATCCTTCGCGCCAAGTCGCTTCCGGTCTCCGAGGCCCCGGCCTGGATTCCGGTGGACCAGAAGGGCATGTGCAACATAGCATGATGGGAAATAGGTTCTGGGCGCACGAACTGGAGGAAGCCTTTCTGGGAAGCACTGTCCAGCAGGGTGCGCGGCGCCGGGAGAGAAGAAAGGCTTTGGCCAGGAAGAGAGCGCGGAGACTTCTGGGGAATGGAGTGTAGTGGGGCTGGGAGGCGTGCGCGCAAGACCGGAAGTGTGACGCTTTGGCGTTTGGCAGGATCTGAAGCTGCAGTTTCTCCCATCGCGCCGGGACCGGTAGCCCTCTCCGGTAGCCGCAGCGACTTTTTCGCTCGGTGTTCTGTTTGGCACCGAGTGGTTTGCGCCTCGGGCTCCCGATCCGAGGCCTGGCTGTGGCTCGGGAGACAGTGAAAGACCCGGCAGGGCAGGCCCCACCGGAGCTCCCAGGGCCCAGCCCCGCTGGCTCAGACCCGGCGTCTGAGGGGAGAGGCCGGAGAGGAGAGCCCACCGTCAGAGCGGGGCTCGGGCTGCAGTGAAGCGACGCTGACGCCCAGAGAGCTGCTGGGAGGCGGTGTCGCGTGACGAGACCCAAATGCTGGAGGAAGGTGAGTGGTGGCGGGAACGGTCTGCAGGAGGTCCGGCCTCTTGTCCCAGCTTGCCCGCTATTACTGCTGTGCGACCCGGCGACCTTGCTGTTATCCTTCCCACTTAGGGACGACTTTCTTCGAAAAAAGAATTCCGGGGTCAAAAAGATTTGAGGAGCTCAGGCCTGACTAACCCCTGAGTACCCAGCCCCTCATCCCGATAGCATCTTAGAGAGAAAGGGGCCTGGAAGGAAAATGGGACGTACTCGGGGTCTCCTGCTTCTGGCCTCCCAGCTCTTGCAGCGAGGGATGCTCGGAACAGGAGCCTCTCGGCTCCGCTGAGATGAGCGCCGCTTCAACCCTGATTGGTGGGTTAGTGGATTGTTGAATTGCCGGAGGTTGCTGGGGATTTGGAACCAGAAGTCCTGTTTACGCTGTGGGGTACCTGCCACGTCTGCTAACCTGCTTCTTCATGAAGGAAAGGGTAAAATAACATTGAGTACCTCGTTTACCTGTAAGAGCTGTAAGCATCAAATAAAATAGCAGTTTTGAAAGCACGTTCGCCGCCTTGCCGAACAGAACAAATGTGCATTTAATCTTAACCATCGAGGCCCGTGCCGTCCTCCCCTAGGTCAAGGAGTCCGGGTATCGAGTCCAGTTTGACACCCAGCATTTTGTGTCGTGTTCCCAGAGGCCTGAGAACGGGAGCAGGAGCTTAGCTTCCTCTCCAGAGAGGGGAATGAGATGCCGCAGTTAGGTGCAGCTCAGTGAAATGAGGTCTGCACTAGCACCTGTGTCCAGGCCTTTCACTTCTTTATCTGAGGACTGGACTACCTCTACTTTTTTTTTAATTGATATGATTCACATACTGTAACATTCACTTTTAAAGTATACAGTTCAGTGGCTTTTAGTATATTTGCGAAGTTGCACAGCCATCACCATTTATTTCTAGAACATTTTCATCACCCCGAAAAGAATATACCCATTAACCACTCCCTCTTCCCCCTCCCCCCAGTCCCTGGCAACCACTAATCTACTTTTTGTCCCCATGGATTTGCCCGTTCTGGACATTTCATAAAAATAGAATTGTACAATATGTGTCTTTTTCTTAGGGTAATGTAACATGAATGAATGTACCTCATTCCTTTTTATGGCTGAATAATATTCCGTTATAGAGATATACCACATTTTACCTGTTCCTGGGTTGATGGACATTGGGTGGTTTCCAGTTTGGGCCATTATGAATAATGCTGTGAACGTGCCTGCACAAGTTTTTGTGTGGACATGTTTCCATCGCTCTTGGGTATATGCCTGCGAGAGGAACTGGTGGTCATAACTCTGTGTAACTTTCTGGGGAGCTGCCAAACTGTTTTCCACAGTGGCTGCACCATTTTACATTCCCAGTAGCAATGTCTGAGTGTTCCATTTTCTCCACATCAACACTTGTTTTCCATCTTTTTAAATTTTAGCCACCTAGTGTGTGTGAAGTGGGACCTCATTATGGTTTGATATGCATTTCTCTAATGATTAATGATGTTGAGCTTCTTTTCATGTACTTTTTGGCTATTTGTANACCTAGTGTGTGTGAAGTGGGACCTCATTATGGTTTGATATGCATTTCTCCAATGATTAATGATGTTGAGCTTCTTTTCATGTACTTTTTGGCTATTTGTACATCTTGCTTGGAGAAATATCTATTCAGATCCTATGCCCATTTTATATGTCTTTTTGTTTTTGAATGTTAAGACTGAGTTCCAGCCTGGCTCGACCTAGGATCCAGGCGATGGGGTTCGATTCCCCGGTCAGGGCACAGGCCCGGGTTGCGGGCTTGATCCCCAGTCGGGGGTGTGCGGGAGGCAGCTGATCAATGACCCTCTCATCATGGATGTTTCTTTCTCTATCCCTCTCCTTTCCTCTCTATGAAATCAATAAAGATATATTTAAAAAAAAAAAAAAGTGTTACATATTCTGGATACAGACCAT